GGGTGTGGGCGTGTGGGGGGGTGGGTGGGGGTGGAGTGATGGGTGTGTGTGTTGGGGGGGTACGGTGTGTGTGGTTCTGTGCACCCCTGTGGGCACACTGAATTTTCAACCAGTCATGGGGATCATAGGGACAATGTGGACTGCCAAATGAGACATCCGAGAAAACAGTCCTGCCCTCCAACATATGCCAACCGCAAAGAAGGACTCAACATTATGGAATAATGGCGCTTTTTAAAAATAAATAAATAATGGCTCAGGGAGGCATCTGTGGTCCGAGAATCAGGACACTCCAGCTTCCACAGCGCTGACAGGACTTCCTGCCCTACACTGCACAGGTACACGTTCCTCTCAGAGTGTGAGTCGTGTCTCCGGGAGTGAAGTGAAGGAACGGTCCTTCTGACGCTGATGCTTCTGGATTCATTGCTTCCCTTTGCCTTGGTGAATCTTCCTAGGCTCAGACCTTTCAGATGAAAGCCTTTTGGGATGGACACTGTTGGGAAGAGTCTCCAGTATAGAAAATGGTCCCGTGGCTGGGTGCGTGGCTCACACCTGTAATCCCAGCACTTTGGGAGGCTGAGGCGGATGGATTACCTGAGGTCAGGAGTTCAGGACAAGCCTAGCCAACCTGGTGAAACCCCACCTCTACTAAAAAATATAAAAATTAGCAGGGCATGGTGGCAGGCACCTGTAATCCCAGCTACTCGGGAGGCTGAGACAGGAGAATTGCTTGAACCAGGGAGGTGGAGGTTACAGTGAGCTGAGAACGTGCCACTGCACTCCAGCCTGGGTGACAAGAGCGAAACTCTGTCAAAAAAAAAAAAAAAGGAAGGAAGAAAGAAAGAAGGAAGAAAGAAGGAGAAAGAAGAAAGAAAGAAAGAGAGAGAGAGAGAGAGAGAAAGAAAGGAAGGAAGGAAGGAAAGGAAGAAAGAAAGAAAGAAAGGAGGGAGGGAGGGAAGGAAGGAGGGAAGGAGGGAAGGAAGGAGGGGAGGAGGGAAGGAAGGAGGGGAGGAGGGAAGGAAGGAGGGGAGGAAGGAGGGAAGGATGGAGGGAAGGAAGGGAGAAAAGAGAAAAGAAAAGGGTCTTGCCAACAAATTCCATCCAGAGCCACAGAGAGCAGTGCTCCATAATGCGAGATGACAAAGATCCCTGTGGCTCTCCATTTCTCACTTGGACACAAGCTGGCAGGTTAGGCAAATAGAAATCAATCATTGGCTTTATCCATTAATATCTGAGTCAAAGCAATTCTGGATATGGCTTTATCCATAACAGACAACCTCATCCGTTAGTGGGTATGGCTTTATCCATTAACATCTGAGTAAAGCAGTTCTGGAATTCCCAGCTCCGTGGTGTAGAACCCGGCACCATGGATCCAAACCACTTCCTTTCAAACAAGAAGTCTGTTCGGGCTTAACAGAGGTAGCTGACTCCACCTGTGGAATGCTGATCGGCAGACTCTCCAGGCTAAAGGGACCTTAAACTTCATCCAATGACCGTTTTCAACCACATGCCTCATGAAGTGCTCAACCAGCTTTTGCTTAAAGATCTCCAATATCTGGACCAGTTGCTGGGTTGGATTGAGCCGAAGTCCTCCTCAGTTGACTAGTTCTGCCCATTCTAGAACGCATCTGCTCCTTCTGCCCCAGGACAGGCCCCCTCCAATCTTCTCTTCTCCAGGGGCCCATGCCCAGCCCCGTTCCCCCTCAGAGCCTGGTCTGACCGCTGAGGCTCAGAGCATGTGGTTCCTCCCTAAGTCAGCTGGGAGGGCAGGGGCTGCTGGGGTTGTGACGCCTCTCACACCCCAGACCCCCTCTCCCCAACCGGCCCCATTAGGGGCACGGAGGCTGAGTCTCCACCTGCTCAGCTAGTCTGGCACACGGAGTGGCCCAGAGCAGAGAAACTCGTCCCAAGTGCACTGCCAGGCCTGGACTCCTCAATCTGCCTCAAACCAGATTAACTCGTCAATTGCCATGTCATCCAAAGGCCAAATTTCTATTTCTTATAAAACTTATGTTACTATTTTTGTAATTTTTACATGAATCCTTTCACCAGATGATGGGGGCAGAGGAGATTTTCTAGCGGCTTAGGCCCCAGTTACCCGGAAAATCCTTCCGTCTCCACTTCCCCTCTGCCCCCAGACTGACTCCGTGTCATTTCCAAGGGAGGACATCAGAGGATGAGGACCTAAAAATAAGCCCAAAGTCTTGGCAAATGTTTCTCTCTCACAAGCTTCCCCTTCAGCTTCAAAATTCACAGTTTAAAAAAAACCAAAACTTTGTACCAAAGCAGTTCAGGCGTTTTGTTAAATTCCCCCACTGAGACGTCCTGAGCTCTAACATGGTAGAGACGGAGCAGCTGCTATTTCTGCTTCTGCGGAAGCCAGGATCCCAGTGCGGGGGTGTGCGCTGCGGCAAGGCCGGGGACAAGGAAAAGAGCCAGGCCCTTTCACCCAAATCGCGGCGGCCAGGCAGGACCTGCCCCGCGCCTCTCACGCAGACTTTTGTGTGTGTGAAGAAAAGCTTTTTGTCTTGCTCTGCCAACCCTGAGGCCAGATATATTATACTTACATCCAGCCCGAAAGCCCCCGATCTGTCTCCACTTTTAAAATCAATACTTCATTGTAGTAATGTTCATTCTTAACTGAAATGTCTTTTCCATACTGAACATAAACCCTGTGTCAATTATGCTACTAAAAACATCTCTCCATTTGAGACAGTTTGATCCTTGGGGTTTCAGGGGATGCTCACTCCAAGGATGGCTTCCTTTTCCCTGAAGAGTTCCCGAAGGTCATTTCCAAAGCTCACTCCCCTCCTCTCCCAGGATATCTGGCTTACCTCGTCCCTCGCACATTCTGGGACGGGATCAAGGGTCTCCCACAAATTCAGGCAACCCTGTGAGATGGTAGAATGTGTGGACTGGGGCCAGGGCTGACACGGGGAAGCTGGCAGGAGGAAAGCCTCCTCTCCCCGCTCCTCAAGGCCCCTTCCCTGCCACCCACCTCTCCCAGCCAAGCCGACCTGCAATTGGTAAAACCAGAGGCTTCACCCAGAATTTTAGGGGTGTCTGAGGCTCCGGACTGTGGCTGGCTATGGGTTTACACAAGCTTTTTGCCAAATAACAAAATTTAGGATGTTTCCCACTCAGACAAACCGCCAACTGCCCTTCAGTCCAGACACCCACTCAGCATGAGGGTGTGTTCTACGTCTAGGCCAGCAGAGCCAGGTTCCACCTCTCCTCAAAGCCTCAGCACATCCGTGACTCCGCCTGCAGCACCGGACAGCCCACGTGCACACCAGCTGTGGGTGACGCTTCTACACCGACGTTTCTGGGAATTCCTCTATTTCTTCAAACGCATTGAGAGTGGTTTTGCTGTTGTTCCTGGAAGACTCGTGGATTTTGTTGAAATCTGCTCTTGAAAAAAGATATATTTTAGAGGCCAGATGCAGTGGCTCACACCTGTAATCCCAGCACTTTGGGAGACCAAGGTGGGCGGATCACCTGAGGTCGAGAGTTCAAGACCAGCCTGAACATGGTGAAATCTCATCTCTACTAAAAATACAAAAAAAAAAAAAAAAAAAATAGCTAGGGGTGGTGGCGCACACCTGTAGCCCAGCTACTCAAGGAGGCTGAGGCAGGAGAATCCCTTGAACCCAGGAGGCAGAGGTTGTAGTGAGCCAAGATTGCGCCACTGCACTCCAACCAGGGTGACAGAGACTCCATCTTAAAAAAACAACAACATATGTGTGTGTGTATATACATATATATATATATATGTATATACATACACATATTTAGAAATACATCACTCCGCTGATGTGTTTCTATGGCTTAAGGCTATACCGTTTTAAAAGTTGTTCCAACTCAGGCTCTAAAAGTCAGAGCTGGAAGAGACCTAAGAAGCACTTCCATTCATCCCCCCCATTTGACAGATGGGGAAATCAGGCGCCTTAGACTTGATCGGCCCCAGGTCACATGGTCTCAGACAGGAACGCACGCCGTGTCACCTCACAGCCACAGTACCTGTTCGCCTCCCAGGCCCCGGGTCTTCGTTAAGGAAGGAGACGTGTGTTTTCCATTCAGTCCACTTCACTTCATTGATCCTGCAAGTGCGGCCATCGTTCTTACTATTTCGCCATTGCCTCACTGGATGCAAACAAACAGCCCTGCGCTTGGGCGTCCCGGTGTCTACACAGCTCCCCTTCTGTCTGTCCTAGAGATCAGGAGCACCCCTGCCCCGAGCGGTCACACCAGCGTTGTTAGACTTTCAACTCTATACCCATCTCCATTTCCCCGGGCCTCAAGGACTCAGCTCTCCTTCCACTGTATGGAACTCAGAATCCTGCAAGTTGCTCAGACAGTGTCAAGGGTACAACTTCACACTGTGCAGCTGTACCTGACGGGTGACAGCCCACGGGGAAGCAGGGACAGACAGAGGGAGGGCCCGGGCCATGAGGGCGTGAAGATTAAACTCCAAGTGTCACGAGGGTTGAGGAGGTACTAGGAGCATGTGATTAGGGCCTGTGACCAACAAGAGAGGGTGGCATCTGAGGTATTAGAATGGAACGGCAGGCACTGATTTGACCTAAATTCACGTTCAGAGAACATCTCTAGAGCAAGTGTGGCAACGTCAGAAATACTTGTTAGGGTAACAACTGCGGTCAGAAATGCTGCTGTCCAGGGGCTGGGATTTCAGCAGAGAAGTGGGTTAACGTTTGGTCATACTCAAAAAAGGTGGTCTGTAGGCTTGGGAAGCTGGGTCAGGGAAGGAGGGCGTGGGCTTATCAGAAAAGGTGGTCATGGGGCCGGATGCGGTGGCTCACACTTGTAATCCCAGCACTTTGGGAGGCTGAGGGGGGTGAATCACTTGTGGCCAGGAGTTCTAGACCAGCCTGGCCAACATGATGAAACCCCCATCTCTACTAAAAATATAAAAATTAGCCAGGCGTGGTGGCACGGGCCTGTGATCCCAGCCACTTGGGCGGCTGAGGCAGGAGAATCGCTTGAACCTGGTAGACTGCAGTGAGCAGAGGTCATGCCACTGCACTCCAGCCTGGGAGATGGAGTGAAACTTCGTTCAAAAGAAAAAGAAAAGGTGGTCATGAGACATGTAAGGATTTTTTTTTTTTAATCAAAAAAGATCTGTCAAAGCAGCCGTGTCACCTTCCGTCTGCCAGCGGCAAATGTGCCTCACGTCCTCTGGGGTCACAGGAACTCACACAGGGTACACAGCAGGAAAAGGAGTACCAAGTGGGCAGATCTCCCCCACACCAGACAGTGAATGGACAGAGGCCCTGGAGGCACCTCCAGAAAAGCAGAGAGAGGACCCATGCCTCCAGTCTCCTTCCCTTCCCTTTTGGAGCTCGGGAACCCCCATCCCAAGCCCTGCAACCCCATAAACATCTTCCTTCCTTTGAGAGGCCCCGGGACAGAAGGTAGCTGTGGTTATGGTGAGCAAGCTGACCTGCCCCTCTCTACCTACCCCAAAGCCCACCACCCCAGGGCCCTCTGTTACCGCAAACACAGTCGGAAATCTTCCTCGGCCACTTTACACATCTCCCCCATCCGGAATCTGCTCCTCAGCCATTCTGGTAACATTTTCTCAAATTCCAAGATGGTCCTGGCTCTCTGGGGACATAAGCAAGCCTATGGACTATGCATGCACACTCACAACCGCACACAAGCGCACACAC